ACTGCACAGCTTCTGCCTCTCATTGCCCTGTTGGCTGGCATCCAGTTTCTCAGATTTTCCAGGATTTTAAGAAAAATCAGAAAGCCAGATTTTATATGTTCTCATATTAAAAAAAACCTTCCAATTTTTAAGTGTTGGCTATTAAGCCAGGTTTTAATAAACCACTATGTGGGCCAAATAAAGCATGCCTAAAGGCTAAATCTGACCCCTAGGCCACCAGTTTTCAACCTTTGGTCTAGGAGAAGGATAGAATTCCAGCTGGGGTAGAACAAAGCAGTAGGGATTCTGAGCGCCCCTGACCCACACCTCCATTCTGCCCCTGCAAATCAGGGAGACAGAGGATGAAACCCGTGAGTCTTGAGAAGAGAGGTCCTAGAAGAAGAAGCTCTATGGTGGGCAGTGTGTGTACGTGTGTGTGTGTGTGGGGGGGGGTGTCCCTGGAACCTGCTGTAGGCCAGGCAAGGAGAGGCCTGGCTGAGGCAGATGCTGCTGTGGGGAGGGTATCAAGGGAGCTGTGGGAACAATGAAGTCATTAAATGACTGTATACCTAGAAAACCGAAGAGTCTCTAGTAGAGAAACAGAAAGCAAAAACACATGCAGAAACAAAAGAAACAAAAGACTTTATTTGAATGAAGAAAAAAATTGATAAGGTTATTGGGTGCAAGGTAAATATTAAAAACCACTTTTCTCTGTTTTGAAAACAAACACATAAAAATGGAAATGGAAAAATATTCCATTGACAATATTGCCAAAAAGCACAAAATAGTTAGGAATAGATTAAACAAGAAAGGCACAGGACTAACATGAAAAAAGCTTGTCGAAGGATTGAAAACAAGTTCTGAACAAATAGAGAGACATACCATAGTCTTGGATGGGAAGCTTTGATATCCCAGAAATGTCAAAACTCCACAGATCAATTCCAAACAGCATGAAATGTTTATTTGGAAGAATTAATGCCTGAAAATAGCCAAAAATTTATGGATGATAATAGCAATGCAGGAGGACTTACCTTATACATCTCAGAACAAACTCTAAAATCAATCACTAGAGTACTAATAGAGGAATAGATCTAGATCAGTGAAATATACGGAGGAGGAAATCCAGAAATAGACACTAAACATATATCAGAATTTAATATTTGATAGAGTAACCTTTGATTATTTAATAAATGATGCTGGCACAATCACTCTTCATCTGGAAGCAAAATTTGACCAATTACCAAACTGCATAATCAAAAATCCATTTCAGATTATTTATTTATTTATTTATTTATTTATTTATTTTTAAAAATTTTTATGATAGTCACAGAGAGAGAGAGAGAGGCAGAGACACAGGAGGAGGGAGAAGCAGGCTCAAAGCACTGGGAGCCCGATGTGGGATTCGATACCGGGTCTCCAGGATCGCTCCCTGGGCCAAACCGCCAAACCGCTGCACCACCCAGGGATCCCATCCATTTCAGATTATTTAAAGATCTAAGTTTAAAAATATAAAAGAAGAAAAAAAAATTTAGAAGACTATACGAACAATCTGAGTGAAACAATTGAATCAAGCTACAAAGGAGAAGTGAGGCCGAAAAGCATCGTGGGGCAAAGATACACAATCACAGTCAACGGACAAAGGAGAGCTTTGGAAAACATTTGTTATAAAAGTGCTAGATAAAGTTGAATAACTACAGTGTACAATGAGGTTTACAAATCGACAAGGAAAAGATAACAGAAAAATGGGCAAAGGATAAAAATGGATGTTTCATGGAAGAACCCATCCAAATGGCAAACAAGGAAACGAAAAGCTGCTCAGATCCAGCAGTAGAAAAATGTGATTTAATGTAACAATGAGAGGGCCGCCTGGGTGGGGGTGCCTGGGTGGCTGCCTTGGGCTCAGGCCAGGATCTCCTGGGATCAAGCCCCAAGTTGGGCTCTCTGAGCTCAGCAGGGAGTCTGCTTCTCCCTCTCCCTCCGTGTTCCTGTTCTCTCTCTCTGTCTCAAATAAATAAAAATAAATCTTAAAAAAAAATAACAATGAGAGATGACTCTCTAGACGTCTCTCTTTATATCACCCGCATTTCTGGCAGGGAAGTGCAGAAAAGATACTCTCATAAGTTGTTTATGGAAGGGTGAAACAGGACTCTTTTTAAAAAGTAAGCTTTATTACAATCATATACATCATATATATAATATCTATCCATTGATCTAGAATTTTACTTATAAGAACTTATCTGACAAATACAACTCCCAGAGATATGGGCATATGAACAAGGATGTTTTTGCAGCATGTCTATAGTTGCAAAAAAAAAAAAAGATTAAAAAGTGAATGTTCCATTAAGTGGCAAACAGCTGAATAAATTATGGAATATTCACACTATGGAATATTATGTATCGTCAAAAATGAATTAGGGGGGGCATCCCTGGGTGGCGCAGGGGTTTGGCGCCTGCCTTTGGCCCGGGGCGTGATCCTGGAGACCTGGGATCGAATCCCACGTCAGGTTCCCGGTGCATGGAGTCTGCTTCTCCCTCTGCCTGTGTCTCTGCCTCTCTCTCTCTCTCTCTCTCTGTATGACTATCATAAATAAATAAATAATAAAAAAATTTAAAAAAATGAATTAGAGGGGAGGATTTCCTTGAAGTATTGTTCAATTAAAAAAGCAAGATGCGGGATCCCTGGGTGGCGCAGCGGTTTGGCGCCTGCCTTTGGCCCAGGGCGCGATCCCGGAGACCCGGGATCGAATCCCACATCAGGCTCCCGGTGCATGGAGCCTGCTTCTCCCTCTGCCTGTGTCTCTGCCTCTCTCTCTCTCTCTCTGTGACTGTCATAAATAAATAAATAAATAAATAAATAAATAAATAAAGCAAGATGCAGGGGCAGCCCGGGTGGCTCAGCGGTTTAGCACCGCCTTCAGCCCAGGGCATGATCCTGGAGACCCGGGATCGAGTCCCATGTTGGGCTCCCTGCATGGAGCCTGCTTCTCTGCCTGTGTCTCTGCCTCTTTCTCTATGAATAAATAAATAAATCTATCTTTAAAAAAAAAGCAAGATGCAGGAAAACATATTTACTATGATCCTATTTTTATAAACTATGATACATGTATGTGTGTATTTGCATATAATTTAAATGTGTCTGTCAATGATAATTATGGAGAAAACACACAGGTGTTACTAAACCCACATAAGATATGAGAAGGTTTGAAGTTACCTAGGATGGAAGTCCAAGCTCATATGGTTGGTGCCGGAATGGAGGAGGGCGCCAAGCCCATGCTACCTGCCTCCCCCACCGGTCCCAGAATTAAAAAGCAAGGGTCGTTGGAACTGGACTCTCACCCTGCAGCCTAACTCCCCCACCCCCATGATGCTTGACTCCTGGGCCCCCTCCCTTGGCGATCACTCCCACTAATCTATATGTGGCCTTTCCTATTTTTCTCGTGATTCTAGAATAGTACAGTCAACGCATTGCGAGGCAGAGAAGACAGAGAAGGTTTCAGTGGAGGGGGCTGCTTTCAGTGCATGAAAATTGGCCTCGGGGTCTAGCATGCGGCTCTTACTCTCCTGGGCATTTTGGCAAATCCACAGGAATGAGGGCAAGAGGCGAGAAGGACTAATACTAATCCACTCTCTCAATAAGTCCTCCTCGAGGCTCAGCTTATAGCCGGAGTCCTCAGGGAGGACATCTCAGCCTGCCCATCTCGATTACACCTCCCTGCTGTTTCCCCGCATAGGACTCATCACAGGTGCCATGCTGTCTTGATCCGTGCGCGCGTGTGTGCGCGTGCAAGCCCCGGTGTGAACGTGTGAACGTGCATCTCCTCCAATAGGCAGCGAGTGTGGCGCGGGGCGGGATCGTGTTTGCCCAGCACCTAGTGTGAGTGAAGCCGCTTAAGAAACGTCCCTTGAATGTAGTAATTCGCTTACTCACTTGTTCTCCTTCTCATTGACTCACTCTTCTATTCATTCCTTTATACATTTATTCCCTTGTTCATTCCAGAAACATGTGCTATTGGCCAGTGATTTTTCCCTTGATCTGAGTCTTCCACTTTCTGGGGTGACTTTCGGTGGGGCGCTGGAGGGTGGGGTGGGGTTGGGACATGACTGCCGAATTCCAGGAACACATCCACGGCTTGGATGAGTCCGAAGCTCTCCAGGGAAGGAAGGAAGATTCCAGGAGGCTGGAAGGCTGGGATGGAAAGTGCTGAAGGTCCAGAGAGGACAAAGTGGGAGTCTGGGGAGGAGGCTGGCATAGGCACACTCCTGTCTGCCCAGTCCAGACCCGAGTTTGCTTGGCTCCCGTTTGTTCTGCCTGGAAGAGCCTCTCCCCACCACCGTGAGCTGAAATCCTAGCCTTCCCCGCCTGGCCAGCCCAGATGTGCTCCAAGCCTCCCTTCACTCCTCCAGCTGGAAGAGTCGCTCCCTGCTGCAAACAATCTTCCAGAGCACAAAATCTGGACCTCCCTCACGGCGCTGACCACTTCCTGCCTGTGATGTGGTGTGGCCTCTCCTTCCACCCAATAGGCAGAGGCCCTGTCTGGCTGTTCCCAGGAACCCTGCAGGGCCTGGCACAGAGTGGGTGCTCAAGCGACTCGGGCCTACAATGTGAACAGCACTGTGCATTTGGTGAGCAGTGATTATGACCCCGTTTTAGGGATGGGGAAATGGAGGCACAGACAAGTGGCAGGACTTGCCCTTACACCCAAAGCAAAGCCTAGACTTAGCCCTGCATTTCTGGTCCTGGAGGCGGGGCTCTTTCCAGGGCAGAGGGAGGTGGGAGGAGGGTCGGGTGGGGTGGGAGCTGGGTCCTGAGAACCAGCAGGCCAGAGAGATTTGAGTTCGAATGGCCAAGTTCAGGAAAAGCACAGCTGGGGAGGAGCCAAGGTATTTATTATGCTTGGTCTCCTGCTCCAAACAGAGCTGATGGATGGAGCTGCTCCAGTTCCTATAAACAGCTCGGGCCTCCCTCCCTCTCTCTCTCCCCTCTGCCCCTCCCCACCCTCAGCTACCACAGCCCCGACTAATTCTGGGTTAGGAGGAGGATGATCAAGGGAGGGAAAGGAGAGATGAAGAGGGGGAAGGAGGAAGGGAAGAGAAGATAAAACAGGGTCCCAGAGGCAAGAAGAAAGTGGAGGGAAGTAGAGGATGTTGAGAGAAGATTTTTCCTTTGCCTCCTCACTGGTCACTGCTGCCCTGGGCAGGCCACATCCTACATCCCCCTCTGTGTCCTCCACGTCCCCTGCACCTGTCTGAGAAGCCCACGACCCCCTTCTCTATCTGAGGGCCGATCTTAATCCCTACAAATGTCTAAGTCCTGCAGGGCTGGGGTCCTGCATTCAGGAAACCTTTTCTGAACTCACAGTCTATGTTGGCTCACAGGACCTGGGGACACAGAGAGGACTGGGGTAGAACTTCCCTCCAGGAGTTCTTAATTTGGTGGCATATCAAGCAGAGATCCTCACCACTGTGGCCCACAGCAGCCTGGGGCTGTAGAGGAAAACCAGGGCAGACTCCCCAGAAGAGGTGGTACAGGCCAGGGTTGACACAGGAGTTTGGTAGGTGGGTCAGGGCGGGTGAGACATTTCAGGTGGAGGAGGTGGGAGAGAGCCTGGTGTTGGGAGGTGGGGAACCCCATGGTTAAGATTGCTGCTCTGGAGCAGGGCATACCTCGGTTCCAGTCTCAGCTCTCATGCTTTACAGCTGTGGGACCTTGAGTTTCAGTGTCTTTATTTATTTTTTTAAGATTTTATTTATTCATTCATGAGAGACACAGACAGAGAGAGAGAGGCAGAGACACAGGCAGAGGGAGAAGCAGGCTCCATGCAGAAAGCCTGATGCAGGACTCGATCCCGGGACCCCAGGATCATGCCCTGGGCCGAAGGCAGGTGCCAAACCACTGAGCCACCCAGGGATCCCCAAGTCTCACTGTCTTTAAAATGAGGTTAATAGTAATAGAAATCTCTTCAAAGATGATAAGAATTGCATATAACAATGTACATCAACTGTTTGATGTAGGGCCAACCCAGAAATGGCCAATAATTGTCAGCTCTGAGCACAGGGGCGGAGGTGGCCAGAGAGAGATGGACTGCAGGGTCCTTGTGAGCTGCCTGAAGGGCAGGGGCACAGAAAGCAGACCTTGTCTCCCTGGAGGGTGGGGGTAGGGGTGTGACAGCACAGGGGACCAAGAAGTTGAGGCAGTTCGTGGGCCCTGGGTGCTGCCTTCCTTCCCTCCTGCCCACCAGGCCTGTAGCCTGGCTCCTGCTGGGCCCCACACCTCCAGGAGCCCCATAACAGCTTACTGAATTGAATGGGCTGGGTGACCTGGCACCGCAGGCTGCGACATGGGTAGCCGAAGGCCTCCCCTCTCTCTGGGACTTGCAGGATGCTCTGATGACCTAGTTGGCAGCTGTGTCCATGTTTGGCTGAAAACAGGAATTTCTGCCTTGTTGGGGGTCTTGGCCAGGTGAACAAACTCCCCTGTTTGCCAGGAAAAGGGGCCAGGGACCTGGTGGGCTCCAGCTGGATTGGAGGCCTGCAGAGCCCTGGGCTGAGTGCAGCCTATGCTCTTGACTTCCCTTAGGCCTTCACTGAGCACCTGCTGTGTGCCAGCGAACTGAGTCACATGCCTTCTCACCCCCCAGCCCCATCTATGAAATAGGCATTTAAAATTATCCTTTGGAGTAGGAACTGGGAGGGGAGAGGTCAGGGCCCAGAGAAGCCACCATGGAGAAATCTCCAGGATGTTTGGGGGATAAAGGAGGTGGAGCATCACTGAGCTGGAATTTGTGGGAGAGGAAGTAAGGAAAGGAAAGTAGGTGCCGCCAAAGAGGGCAATGTCTGGGTGTCAAGCAGCTGAGACGGGAGACAGGGCCACAGGAGGACAGGCACAGGGGTCTGCAAAGTAGAGGGTGGGGAATGTCCTGCCCTCTTGACTCCACCTCAGAGCCCCTCAGCCCCACCCCCACCACGGGTGAGGTGGCTCTTGTCCCTTCCCCAGACCTCACAGCCCACACCCTCACCCTCCAGCTCCCTTCCAGGAACCAGGAAAGCTCTTCTTCCTACCCTCACCCCCTGCTCCCTGGCTCTTCTTCCAAGGTCAGTCTTGAACTGCGGCCTGGCCACTCACTCAGTTCTCTGGCTATTGGGAGACCTTTAGCTCTCCAGCCGGGGAGGCCTCTGGGATTCAGGGTATCAGGGCCAGATGCTCAAGGCCGGCTGGGGCTGGAGCCAGAGATGTGGGCATCATTAGAGCAATGGAATGGCTATGACAATAAGGGTGATGACATTCCTGAGGGAAGACGGCCTGGGACAGAGTCCTGGTGATCGCCATTCAGATGGCTTGAGGAAGGTGATCCCATAGCAGAGTCTGAAAAGGAGTGGACGGAGAGGAAGGCAGAAACCACGTGTGGGAGGCCTGGATGCCAGGAGAGTGTGCCGAGGGGAGGGCATGGGTGACGGGGATGATGGGGTGAGAGACCCCTGCAGCTGAGGGGTCAAGAAGGGGCAGTCCAGAAGGTGCACAGAGTTCAGCAAAGGATCTCCTTGGTGACCTCAGCCAGGCCAGCGTGGGGGTGGGGTGGGTAAAGTTACCCCAGGCGAGTTGAGATTGGAGGGGAGAAGGAGGGGGCTACTTTGCCAAGAAGTTTACCCATGAAATAAGAGAAGGAAAGGGAAAATGGCTTAGGGGTCTTTTTACTATTTTTCAGATCGGCAAGTCTTCCACACAACCACGATGGGAAAGGAAGTCAAGGAGAGAGAGGAGAGGCTGCAGAGGGGGCCCCAGAGGGCGGGTAGGACAGACAGGATGGCCTCTGCCATGAGGCAGGGGGCTGAGCACAGGGGCTGCCCAAGCAGGAAGGGCAGGGTGGGGTCAGCACTGGTTGAGTGAGAAGTTCAGGGGGGAGGCAGGGGAATGAGGGCTGAGGCCCCAAGGGCGAGGGCGGTGAGGATCCAGAGCCTCAGTCTCCCCTCAGCGGCCCTCAGCCCATCTCCCCAGGGGTTTGCCATGAGGATTCAAAGACCCGGATGGAAGTAGAGGGAGCAGGGTTCAAGTGGATGCAATAATGCCCATGATCCGCAACAAGGAGGACGCTGGCAGGCCCCACTGTTTCTCCAAAATTATTTTTTTAATACATTCATGTGGGTTATACAAAGAGCTGGTCCCCAGGCCAGACTGTGGCCTGGCTCCTGGAGGTGAGAGCAGCATTGTGTAGTGTTTTCAAAGATCAGGCCTGAAGGGGCCCACACCTTCACTCCAGGCCTGAGGAAGAGTGTTTCTGTGCAGTGAGCACCTGTGGTTGTGATTCCCAACCAGGACTGGGTCCACCTGGCTGCCCCACACACCACCAGGGCCCCAGGCTGGGGCCAGGACATCAGCTTCTAGCCCCAGCTCTGCCACTGACTCCCTGAGTCCTTGACCCTCTCTGGGCCTCAGTTTTCTTGTCTGTAAAACGGGGCAGAGAGAGGGCTGTTTTCATTGTCTCACACTTTACCAAGCACCATCATGAGCCAGATCACGGGCCAAGCATAGGTAAGATAGTGAAGACAACAACAGAGGGTCTTGGGCTACCCCCAGGGCTTCCTAGACAGCCCATGATTCCAAAGCCATGAGGAATCGAGGGTTATATCTAGATGGGTTTTTCTACCACTTTTCTAAGGGAAAAAGTCCCTGCATGATGAGGACCCAAAAGTGTTTGGGGCCAGCATTATCTTGTCATATGACAGCTGAAAGAGAAGGAAATCACTCAGGTCCAGCTCCCAATTTCCCTTGACACCCTCAATGAGGTCTGAATCCACTTTTGTCACAGGCTTTGCCACTGGCTCGTGAAGCTCTGAGCAAACTCCATTCTCTTCCTCAGTCTCAGTTTCCCTATCTGTACAATGGGAAGGTTGGACTCAATAGTCTCAAACTGCCAGCTGTGCTCAATGGAGGACCAGGGAATGCAGGAGCAAGAGAAAAAGATGAACACACATCGGTCTACAAAGGAGGGAATAAGGGAAACTGAGGCAGAGAAGGAGAAGAGAGCCTGTGTCTGCCTGCCTGGGAGAGAGGAGGGAGAGGAGTGGGTGGGAATGTGCAGCACAGGATGCTCCCAGGCCCTGTTCCCTCAATGTGGGGCCGTTTCCTGTCCACCTAACAGCAGACAGCCCCCGCAGTGGCAAAGGGCAGGCCCTGGAGACAGGAGGATTTTAGCCTGAATCTCAGGTATGGCATTTCTTAGCTGGAGGACCCTGGAGGGAGTTTTTGTAAAATGGGTTAAAATACCAACCTCAGAGGGCTGTCCGAAAGAGGCGGCCAATGTTCCAGCTGCCAATAAGCCTGGTGCAGAACAGAACCGGATCGCTAGGGTTCTGACTCCTGGCTCATCAGCCGGGGTGGGGCTGGGGATGAACAGGGGGCCTGCGTAGGGAGCTGGGGGGCCAGGGCAATTGTGTGCAACCCCAGAATGCTAGGCAGGGAAAGAGCCTGTCGGGAGCAGGAAATGGAATGGTCCAGCACAGGGCCAGAACCCGGGCAACAGCCTCTTAACCAGGCTCTGCTGGAGCCGCTGTGGCCTCAGAGCTGAATCCAAGATGTACTCATGTGGCTGCAGTTCTCTTCCGGTCACAAGCTCTACATGTTCCAGAGAAGCTGAAAGTCATTATTGGAAGATGTGACAAACAGTCTGCTTGGAAACGTCTCAGACCAGTCTTGTTGGTCTTGTCCCTCCTGTGCTCCGGCCCCACCGGGGCAGGACTCTCCATAACTCAGCAGCCCTGGAACTTCCACACTCGGCGTGGTCACTGCATGGCTTTGGGACCACCTCCCCACCAGGACTGGGGGACACTCGGGGGCAGGGATGTGTCTCATTCACCAGCGTCCCCAGTGCCCAGAGCAGGATGTGGCACAAAACAGATGCTTGGCAAACATGTGTCGGTCAGATCTATCAACCTTATTCTCTGTCACTCCTGAAACTGCCTGACTTCTGGCTGCCACAGCTGGACCACATGTGTGGCCTGGGAAGTGGGTTGCCTACCAGCACAGCAGGACATAAGGGAAGGAGCCCTGGGCCAGGAGTTAGAGACCAGAGTTCTCAGACCCTGGCTCACTGTGTGACCTTGGGTCAGTCCCCACCCTTGTCCGTGCCTCCGGCACCCCAGCTGACCTGGGAGGTCTCCAGGCTGAGCTGTCCCGCAGCTCCTGGCTTCTCTAAGCTTTGTACTGTTGGTTGAACTTCTGCCGACGGACACAGCAACAGGTGGCCAGTGTGGTGAGGAGGATGGCAGAGACCAGTGCAAAAGTGAGGATGATAATGAGGTTGACATTCTTGAGTCCCCCCTTCTCACAGTCCTCAGGACGCACGTGGCTCAGGGATACCTCCTCCTGGGAGCCAAAGCGGCAGGTCAGGTCCTGGGTGGCATCCACGTCCACACGGCCCTGGTGCAGCTGGGCGGCCAGCCAGGCATTGCCACAGCAGCTCAGTGGATTCCCCTGCAGGTAGAGGCGCCGGAGGCTGGTCTCCAGGCCGCCCATGGCGCTGCCCGGCAGCAGGCTGAAACTGTTGTTCCGCAGGTCCAGTACCTCCAAGGACACGGCCTGTGTCCAGGCAGGCAGGTGGCTCAGGCGGTTCTCGGCAAGATTGAGCTGCTTAAGGCAGCTGAAGCAGGGAAGGTCTACTTGCAGGATGGCTAGCCCATTGCCCTGCAGGGCCAGGACCTCCAAGGAGGCCTCCAGGCCCGCCAAGGCCCCCGTGACCACATCCAGCCCTGGGTTTGCAGAGAGGTCCAGCTCGGTAAGTGGCGTGTGGAGGAAGGCACCGGCCCGGAGCATCTCCATCTCATTGTCCACCAGGTTCAGGACTCGGAGGGAGGAGATGCCAGAGAAGGCCACACATCCTGAGGGGCTGGGCTCACCTGGCCCCCCACAAGGCCTGACCCGGTTTCCCTGAAGGTTAAGCCTCTGCAGATTGGCCAGGCCACCAAAAGTGTAGGGGGGCAAGTCCCGCAGGGCATTGTCCTGGAGAAGCAGCGTCCGCAGAGACCCCAGGGTCCTGGAGCCCAGCTCTAGCGTCTCCAGCGCGTTGTGGCCGATGTCCAGGTACACAAGGCAAGGCAGGAAGCCCGCGCGCTGCACCTTGAAGGCTCGCAAACAGTTCCGGCTGAGATTCAGGAAGCGAAGGGAGGTCAGGTGCTCGAGAAAGCCCTCAGGAACCAGCTCAATCTCATTGTAGCTCAAATCCAGGTTCAAGAGCTGGGAGAGGGGGTGGGTGCTGGCGTTGCGGCTGGGGTGGGAGAAGGGCAAGGCCGACCAGCCCTCTGAAGGCGCGTGGATGCCCTCGCCCCCCTGGGATGGCCCTGCAGGGAGCCGGATGAGGTTGTTGGACATGTTCAGGTAGATGAGTCGCGGGAGCGCAGCCAAGTCCGGGAAGCGGAGCAGTCTGTTCTCCCGCAGGTCGAGCCAGGCCAGCTGGTACTCAGCCTGGGGCTCTGGGGCCACCTGAAAGGCCTCGATGCTGTTGCAGCTCAGGTCCAGTACCCGCAGCTGCTGGAGACTGAAGTCGGAGATGCAGGTGAGGGAATTCCTGGACAGATTCAGGTGGGCCAGGTGGGGGAGGGCCTCGAAAGCACCGTCCTCGATGTCCATGAGCACGTTGCTGTGGAGGTCGAGCCGCTCCAGCGCGGGCGTGCCCCGGAACGTGTGGCGGGCCAGGCGAGTCAGGCTGTTCTCCGCCAGCGAGAGGGTGCGCAGGGCGGGCGCCTCCCCGAGCAGCTGCTCCACCAGGCCACTGTACAGGCTGTTCCCGGACAGGTCCAGAGATGTCACATGAGGCAGGGGGCCCAGGCTGGGGGCGTTCAGCATGGTGCCCACTGCCAGGTTGTTGTGGGCCAGGTTGAGGTGCTCCAGGTGGGGCAGGGCCTGGAAGACACCGGTGTAGATGAAGCTGATCTCATTGGTGCTCAGGTCCAGGCGTCGAAGTGCTGTGTAGAAGCCCAGGGGTGAGGCCAGGATGCTCTGCAGCTGGTTCCCAGATAGGTCGAGGGCCTCGATGTCCAGCGGGAGCATCGAGGGGACCTGGAGCAGGCCAAGACCCTGGCACAAGACCTCCTTGTCTACCTGGGGTGGGTTGGAGAGGTCAGGGAGAGCAGTGGGCATTAGTGGACACAGTAAGGGGAGGAATCAGACACATCTCTAGGAAGGATGTCTCAACCCCAACCCCTACCCACTCCCCAGCCTAGCTTAGCTAGGCCTCTCTTCTGGCTCCCAAGATGTTCCACATTCCTCCACCCCAGCCCAATCATCTCTGGATGATCCCTAGCTTTCTCCGTGCCCCTGTCTCTGGCACTCAGTACTGTACTGGGTATCAGGGAGGGACTTAAGGAAGTTTGATGGATACACAGACGTAGAAATGACAGACAGACAAGAGGACAGATGAACTCACAAAACACCCTACGCTGACTATTGCCCCATTTTACAGGAAACTAAGCCATATATCACCCAGAACCACCCCAAGCCAGTGAATAATAGGACTGAGCAGAAACCTGGGGCCTTCTGGTTCACATCCTGGGTTCCTTTTATGTGCTCAGATAGTTAAATTTACCCAGCTGCTGTTACACCAGAAACCATTTTGGGGGAGAAATGTTTCCAAAATGCAATTTGCACTCCTCTCATCAGTTTTTTTTTTTTTTAACATTGAAGGTCATTTTATTTTTTTATTTTTTTTATAAATTAATTTTTATTGGTGTTCAATTTACCAACATACAGAATAACACCCAGTGCTCATCCCGTCAAGTGTCCCCCTCCGTGCCCGTCACCCATTCACCCTCACCCCCCGCCCTCCTCCCCTTCCACCACCCCTAGTTCGTTTCCCAGAGTTAGAAGTCTTTATGTTCTGTGTCCCTTTCTGATATCTCCCACACATTTCTTCTCCCTTCCCTTATATTCCCCTTCACTATTATTCATATTCCCCAAATGAATGAGAACATACACTGTTTGTCCTTCTCCGATTGACTTACTTCACTCAGCATAATACCCTCCAGTTCCATCCACGTTGAAGCAAATGGTGGGTATTTGTTTTTACTTTGGCCTCCTACCCTCAGACTTCATTCAAGCCCTCATTCCGTGGGGCAGAGTCCCGGGTCCTAGTGCCTGCCTTTCTCACTGCCTATCCCCAGATGAGACCTCCTTTTTGCTGCTGCTATCTGACCCACTTCCATCAGTGGCCTTGCCCACCATGGCCTGGTCCAGACTGGCCCCTGGAGAGGGGAGGGGGTAGGAAGCAGGGGGAAAGATGGCCAGGGTCCCAACCCACCTTCTTTGGTGACAAGACTAGGATTTTGCTGTGTGAGCCTTACCAAGTCACATTACCACTCCAGGCTTCTTATCCACAGAGTAACACCTTTCCCCAGCACTGACTCAGTGTATTACATTTTATTTAGCTCATTCAGGCCCACGGTCTCACTGGAGCCTCACAAAAGCAAGCCCATCAGATATGGTCACCCCTCTTTTCAGAAACCCAAACTCAGAGAGGGTAGGGGGCTCTGAGATCACTCAGCTGAGGAGGAGCAGAGCTGGGGTTTGAACGTATATCTGTTTTAAAGCCAAAGGCCAACTTTGTCCTCCTAGCACATGTGACTTCGAAGGAGCCCAATTTTTTCTTTTTTTCTGTGCAAATACAATCTCCCTCTCATCTTTTCAAAGAGCCCAGGAATCCAGACTTTTCCAGGAAATGGTCTGACTTCCACAACCACCCAGTGCAGGCCCACTCCTACCCCGGGCTCTCTGTATCCACAGACCCCTTCTGACCTCTCCAACTGCCAAATTCCTGGCAATTGCTACAAGAAACCTCCTCTCCATGCTACTCTCTGCTTAAACCCTCCAGGGCCAAGTCCAGGACCCTCAGCAGGTTTTAAGGCTGTTTATAGCCCCTGCAGACCTGTCCCCTCTCCTCCCAGCCCCCTCCAGCCCAGCCCTATGCAGTGACCACACCTGAACACTGCCCTCTGTGCCCTCCCACACCTGCCTCTGGGCCTCCTCCCTGCTGGTCCCCACTCTGGTTATCCTCACCCCTCCCCACCCAGATCTGCAGGGCTTGAGCTTGGTGTTTGGGGCACTGAGCCTGGCAGGTGGGGAGCCCTCCCTGGGCTCTGAGGGAGTACCACAGCCCTGCGCTCCCTCTCTCATAGCTCTGGCTCCTGACTGTGGCAGCCTGGGCAGGACCTGCTAGGCAGGGAGCTCAGAGTCAACAGGGGTCGGTGTGATGGATGTGGATGCCTTGGACCTGGCCCACTAAAGGTACTCAATAAATTTTTTCAGTGAATGAAAGAGTCACGGACACCACTGTGGCTTGGTAAAGGGCTAAGGGACTGAATCATCACCTTTCTAAAAGGAAAGAAAAGAGAATCCACGTATTCTAACCAGAGTTAAGGACCAGTAGAGTAAAAAAGACTCTGGCTTGCCCACTTCCCAGATGGGGAGACAAAACTGAAGACAGCAGTGACCAGCACAAGGTCACAGTGAGTGGCGGAGCCCATGGAACAGGAACACCAGCCTGGGCGCTCCCTGCCGGCCCAGCTCTCAGCTGCTTCCCCAGAGCTCCAAGGTGCGTGGGAGGGTGGGAGTGGGATGCAGGGGACAGACCTGTCCTCATGGGGCACCTGACTAATCAGGTGTCCTGGTCCTGGCAGTCCAGTCACTTGGCCCTAGCACTTCCAGCCAAGCAGCGTCCTCGAGGGTATCGGGCGGCTGAATGCCCCTCTAAACCACATACCTAGCCCGGCCACCTTGCCAGCCCTGCCTGGCTCTTCCCCCTTGGTCCCTCACAACGTCTCCACCAGCTTGGGCCACTAGGCACAGCCTCCTCATCCCTATCCTCAGCCCCCCGGCCCATCCTGACTTGAGGAAGAAACAGCAAAAGGAACACCATGACCACCACTGTCATGGCACACTAGTTCTGTGGCAGGCTCCATGGCTGGGTACACAGACCCCTTGCCTCGTTTAATCCTGGCATGCATTATTTACCCCGTTGAACCCACCTAAGGAAACTGAGGCTCAGGGGTGAGCTTCCCCCGGATCAGAGAGTCAGAGGCGCCCAAGTACCAGTGCAAGTTCCTTTTCTTACTGTTCTTCGGCACAGTATATAGTATCAGCCAGCACTTACTGAGCATTTGCTGGGGGGGCACTGTACTGGGACCCACTTACCCCCACTCTGCCTCACCTCAGGATATTAAAAGCTGCCAGGACACCAGCCTCTGAGAGCTGAGCCAGGACACAAAGCTGGCCAAGCCCAGGGCCTAATACTTGCTTTCTACTCCAATGCCCATGAGGCCCAGTGGGGGCTGCTGGTAGGCAGGGCGGCACTGGGCTGCCCAACCAGGAGGAAGCTTGCAGGCCAGGGTGGCTCACAGAACTTGGTTTCTAAGGGTGCCCACTGCTCCCTGAGCTCTGAGCTTCCAGACAGAGCCAAGTTCAGAGCTGCCCTTGGACAACCTGCTACCCAAGAAGAAGTTCTTGGTCCAGCAAGTGAGACAGGCTTGGATGCATTCACCAGCTATCCCATTTGCTCAGTATGGGAGTCCAGGACGGGGAGCAAACAGAAGCACATCAGCCTGGGAGCGGTCAGGGTGGGGCTTTCTGGAGGAGGCAGCTTTGGATCTGAGCAGCAATGAGTGAGAGGTGTCCCATCAGGAAAGCAGCATTTGGCCCCAAGTGAAGAAAAGGGGATTTGGCCCAGGAGGGACCCCGCTAGCCAACCTCTAGTTCCCTACACATACACATATTCTATATCGCCCAGGGGGTCTGCTGCCCTGCAGGGGCAACTTGGGGAAATAGAGTCCAATCTCAGCCCCACTGGTCCTAGCCGGTTGAACCTGGACAAGCCATCTAACCTCTCTAAACCACAATTTCCAATTCTATCAAATGGGAGTAATGGTACTTACCTGACAGGATTCAGAGTACATAATGAAGTGTTTAAACATCCTAGCAGGTACTCATTAATGCAAGGTTTAAATGCGTTCAATGCACTCCCTTTCCTCTTCTAACTCCTCTGATTTCTGGCCTGTAGGGCTGAGACAGGAGGACAGTCTCAGGGGCTTAGCCCACCTGGGCGGGGCTGCTTACCATCTTACAGGGCACCTTGTCTCGTGGGGAGGTGGCCAGGCCCAGGGTCAGCAGGGCCAGAAGCAGCAGGATCTGGTGGCTCATGGCTCTGCAGAGGGTGGGGAGGAAAGGGGAACACTGTAAGACCACTGGTTTCCACTGCCAGCCCCCATTGCTCCCATCCTTCAGGGAGCCCCACATCACAGCCAGAGCTGGACAAAAGGTGCTGTGAGTGAGGCAGCCATGGGTGCTGGGGTCTGTAGTCTATCCCAGAGGATCTCTAGTGCCGGGCCAAGGAGCTAAGCTGTCACTCCAGGCAGCGAGAGCTTTGAAGCAGCGGTGACTTGGTCAGATGTAGGTTTCAAAGACCCTACCTGCTGGAAGACCACCTGGAGGGGGTGAGCAGGAGACAGAGGGACTTTAAGGGCTGCCCTGGGCCAAGCTCAGGGCTGGGATGGGGTGAGCTGGGTAGCTAGGCCTCTGACTACATTTCCACCCAGGTCAGAAGCAGGTCCCCCATCTTACTTTCTTAGGCCCTCGAACGGAATTCCTCAATCCCCCCACCCCTGGACTTTTATTTTGCCCTTTTTCTTTTGATTTTCTGATTCTGGAGTCCCTGCCATTGTTTGAAGGCTGGGCCTGGAGCCCTGACAGGAAGCTCCGCCAGGAGGCCTACCCTGCCCCCAGTACTGTTGCTGTGGACTTCCCCAGGAGTAGGCTCCAGGCTCTTTACTTTCACTGAAGTTACCGCCAGTGCAGGGGGCCACTCAGACCTGCTGGTGTCTTCTCTGTGTGCAGCTGAGGTGGAGTAAGGGCAACCTCACAGGCCCTGAGCAGAGTTGATTCCCTGTGCTGTTAGGGGCTCACTCACTGAGGACCTGGGCCAAGTGCTAGGAGTACACATCAAGCCTTTTCTTTTTTTTCTTTCTTTCTCACTTTTCTTTCTTTCTTTCTTTCTTTCTTTCTTTCTTTCTTTCTTTCTTCCTTTCTTTCTTCTCTCTCTCTCTCTGTTTCCTTCTTTCTTCCTTTCATACTTTAACTGAATGCCTCCTCAAGTTTGGCTCTGTCCTCCGACCTGAGGCCATAATTAAATGCAGAGAAGTGTCAGAATGCATACTGAGTGTTAACAAGGGAGGACACATAAAGCCTTCCAAGACCACTAGACTCAGTCACCCGTAACTGCTCTCTTTCCCTCCACTGACCTGCTCCTGCTCCTATGGGGCCTTGTACAAGTCTTGAACCTCAGTTTCCTCTTTCCAGGTTAATGCCAATTTGCCTAAGTTTTGCTAAAGATCAAATGAAAGTGCCCTTACAAAGCCCTTATCGCGCACCAGGCACTCTTCTCGATACTTTACATGTATTAACTCACTTAATCCTCATAGTAATCCAAGGACTTGGTTCTAGGATGATGATTCCCATTTTGCAGATGGGGAAACCAAGGCTTGGAGAGATCAAGTAGCAGGACCAAGGCTACACAGCTTACTAGTGGCAGGCCCAGGCAATCTGTACCCTGAACCTCTACGCTAGAAAGTTACTCAATAAATGAGTGCTGAGTTGCAACTCTGAAGGGTGCTTTAGAAGAAAAAGCATCTATAGGACCTGTGAGGGCTAGGTCTTCGACTTTTAGGATCCACTACTATCCTTGTGATGAATTTTAAGTGAAGACGGCTACTCTGAGGCTCTTTCTCACCCAAACACACACGGGCCACCATGCTGTGTTTTCAACCCCATTCCCTGGGTTCAGCTGGGGGCCTTGGGCCCCCTGCCCCCCACAGCTGCTCGCCTCTCACCTGTGTTCACAGGAAATTTGGTTCTGCTGTTTAAAAAGCAGAACATCACCACCCATTTGAAAGCTAGTGTGTTCAGAATTGAATGGAAACCTCTCACTGGGACCCTTTGAGGCCCTTGGGGAGCGTGCCTGCCCAGCCAGCTCTTCCCCCTCTGCTTTACTTCTCACTGTCCCCTCTCCCACTCTGGCTTATGGCAGCCTCCTATTTCCTTCGGTTCTGTGAGCACCTTTTCACTGCCCTAAACCTTCACTTCCTCCCCTCTCTTGTGCTGAATGCCTCCTCATCCTCTGGGTTTCAGCTTAGATATCACTTCCTCCAGGAAGCCCTCTCTGATTCCCCAAGGCTGGCCGATGTATAGCTCATCCTCCACAGGGTTCCACAGACCCTGAGGTTCCAGTGAGCACAGCACTGAGCTCTGCGGGGTTAGTTCCTCTGACCCACTCCTGTGGGAAGTGGCCCAGGGCAAAGAGGACTCAGTCTCCCCTGGGATCCATCTCACATCACCAGGCAGGCCAGGGAGCCACTGAGAACTGACACAAGGTGACGGTGGCAAGAGCACTCCTTCTGGACTCTCCCTTCATCTCCCAGCCACACTCCTTCCCATCAGCAGGTTATGTCTGCCCTGCCTGAAAAACAGACGCTGGGTCGGCTACCTCCCTCCTCCACCACTGCTCCGCACTGAGGTACCACCACAGCCCTGGGCTCGAAAGCAGCAACAGCCCCGCTCCCACCCTGGCCCCTCCAGGTTGTCCTCCATACACAGCCAGGCTGATGCCTTTAAATCATGTATTGGAGCGTGACTCTCACTGCTTGAGCACTTCCAATAAAATCCAAGCTTTACACAATCTCCTCCCTGACCACATCTCCCATTTGCCTTGCCCTTACCAAATTCTAGCTTTCTCACCATTCCTCAAACATAGCAAGTGCATTCCTGCCCCAGGGCCTTTGCCCGGCTACTCTCTCTGCCTGGAATGCTATTCTCTGGATTCTCACACATTTCATTGTTTCCTTGCATTGATCACTTCCTGCTAATGTATTTCTGATTCTATGAGAACAGGGGTCTATTAAGTGGTGCTCACCAAACATCTATTGAAAGAATGGCAAAGAGAGGGGTAGAAGCTCTACTTCAGGGGGCTGTGAGGTCAGGACAAGGAGGGACCTGGCTTAGTTCTGAACCTGAAGGCAGTGCTGCTCAAAGGTGCCCTCACCAGCCCCTCTTCTGCCTGCCAAATCTCTCCCCACTCCCAAGGTGGGCATCTGTGCATCCTGAAGAAGTCCCTCTAGCACCGGGAAATCTGCCCTGGCATCTCATCTGTGGGCACCCTTCAGGAGCGCCCCATACTTGGTATGTAGCATGTGACTTTCAAGAGGGAAGACTGTGGTCACTTAGACCCAGGCTTACATCCAGACACTACTGTGTATTGCGCTCCCCAGGTAAGTCCCTCAACCTTTCAGGGCCTAAGTGTCCCATCCATACAGCAAGTCTCCTGGTGGCTGTTCTGCCACTGGCTTCCCCTAACCATTGTGATGATAAAGCTGAGAATGGTAATGAAGGTGTCCTGGACACATGGTCTTTCCCACCTGGGGCAATGACCCAGAGGGCCAAACAGCGCAGGTGAGGCATGCCCAGGATAGGGGCCCCAGGCCTGCAGACTAGTAGCCTAGGCAAGAGAAGGCAGGAGACATTTCAGGACTCTGGGAGGACCAATACCAGAAAATACCCGAGTGTGTGTGTGTGTGTGTGTGTGTGTGTGTGTGTGTGTGTGTGAGAGAGAGAGAGAGAGAGAGAGAGGGAGAGGGAGTGTGTGTGTCAGGGGGGCAATGCCTACTATTGTAATAAGCCTATCCCTACTATTTCAGGGTGTTAGACACTTTTCTAAGCACTTGATCTGTATTATCTCATTTGAAGTCACAACCCAATAAGGTGGTTACCATAATTTCCATTTTACAGATGAGAAAACTGACGTTCAGAAAGAGACCTAGCACACAGCCAGCTCATAAGCATTTGAGGGTGGGGGTGGGGGGTTAGCCCAGGTCTACATGACCCAAAGGCTGTGTTTTCTCCATCAGGTGCCTAGTAGCCTGCTCCCTATAGAACTGTCCTTATTTTGCCCATGAGGAAAATGAAGCTCAGAGAGGTGACTTACCCAAAGTCACACAGGCAGTAAATAGATGAATTCAAAATCTGGTCGGTCTGCCTCCAGAGCAAATGTTTCCACTACAGCAGGCCAAGATCTCCCCCCCTAACCACATCCAGCGACCCCCCACCGGCACCCCTGCCACCCCTACAGACAGGCAGGCTCCCAGGGCTGGGCTCTGGGGTGCTCCTCTCCCTCCTCTCAGCCCCAGTCACCAGCAGAGTGGGGTCCTGGGAGAGCTGCTGTGGACGTTCATACCAAGCAGTGAATCACTAAGGGCAAGCCCTATTCTGGAGACATGTGCATCCCACGGGGGAATTAGACCTTAACCCAAAGGAATGTAGCTGTGATGGCGGAATTTCAGGCAGCTCGGGTGGGGGTGGGGGTCCCTCACATCTTACCACGACTCACCAAGGAGGCCGGCTTGCGAGCCCCTCGGGGAGAGGTGGGTGCCCCTCCGCCGCGGCCCGGCCCAATCCCCACCCCAGAGTCGGGCCAGCTGTTAGGTGCGGTGCGCGGGGACGCGCCCGGCCGGCGGGAGTCCCGCGGCGGCAAGAGCCTTGGATTCAAATCCTGCCCTGCCCTCGACTGGCTGTGAGTTGCCGGGAAGTGCGTGCCGGGCCTCCTGCCGCAGTTTTGCCATCTGTCAAACAGGAACGCCGGCCTCTGCCTTCGCGGGAAAGAGCAGCTGCGACGGGAGCCTCGGGGGCGAGGGCGGGTCCGGCCGGCTCGGCGCGTGGAGTGGGGGCGGCGGCGGGAGCGGCCGGGGGCGGGAGGCGCCCGGGATGGAGCCGCCGCGGCCGGCGCTCTGCAGGGGCGCGCGGCGGGGTCCCCCTTCCCGGTCCCCGACCCCGGTCCCCGACCCCGGTCCCCGACCCCGGTCCCCGACCCCGGCGGCACCTCGCCCGCGGGCGCTCCTACCTGGCTCAGCGCGGCCGCCGCTCCTCTCGCGCGCAGCCCCGGCACATCTTGCGCAAACCTGCCGCCCAGACCCCGGGGTCACGGCCCGCGGCGGCCCGCGGCTGCTCCACCGCCCCACGGGAACCCGACCCGCGAGGGGGCGGCTCGGGCTCCAATTTAAATACCTCTCCCGCCGACCCGCCCCACCACGCCCCCCCCCGGCCAAGCCGCGGGGTCCTAGCGCCCGGCCGCGCGCCCCCGCGTGACTCGGTTTCTCCGGAACGCGCGAGGGGGTGAAGCACCTTCCCGCTGGAACCCGGGCTGGGAGGGGGCGGGGAGGCACGGGGCGGGGTGACAGGGCCGGCGGGGGTCGCTGGGGAGGCGCAGGCGGGCGAGGCCGCCGCGACCGCCGCACGTGCAGCTCGTGGCCCCGCGGGGTCCGGAGGGGAGGGAGCGGGGGCGGGGGGCTCTAGGAGCGGCAGGTCCGCAGAGGAAATCCGGCCTGGCCCCGATTTCCCCCGCTGCCGGCGCCGCCGCACTTAGGGGTGGGCAAACAGGAGAGGTGCCGGCGGGGCTGAACGCGGAAGGAAATGACCCTTCACTGGCCCTGGGGCGGCCACAGGGTTCCCCACGCCGCGGCCACCCCCTCTGACGAGTCCTGGCAGGTCACTTCCCCTCTCTGATTGTGCTCTTGTATCCACGCTCGCCTTCCTCCATCAGCTCCGGGACCCTGAAGCAGCCCTGTGAAATGGTACCGTGGAAGTCCCCAGTTCTCAGATGGAGAAACTGAGGCTAGGGATGGGAGGAGAAGCGTAGATAAAAACCAGTTGTCTGGGACTAGTAAGGTCCCCATTTATGTTTGGGGAAACTGAGTCTCAGGAAGGTTACATGGCGTACCTAGAGTCCCACAGCCTGTTAGAGCGGGGATCTGAGCCCCATCTGTCCACAAAGCTAAGTCCAGGCCCATCTGGGTGCTCTCTTCCAGGCACCACCTTGCTCAGGTTGGTTTCCATGCAGAGGGAAAGTGGCCTGGTGGTAGTCTTGTCTTTTGCATTAGAGGTTGAGGCATGTCTACCTCTAAAGCCACCCCTTCTCCTAGATGCCTTGGCCCTCGGTAGTCACAGGTGCTCTGCCCTGCTAGGTGTTGACCCAAGGGCGAGGGTGCCTGGGAGACAAAGCTCATGGCCCTCCTCTGGGCCCTAGTTCCAAGGATAGAATGTTTCCCTTCCCAGCCCTGAGTGTGACACAGGGTGCCCCATTTTACAGATGGGAAAGTGACCACCCAAAGCCTTGTGGTAAATCAGGGTAAAGCTGGGAGTAGAAGCTGGAATCTCTGAGTCCCTAGGTGGCTGCCATCGTTACTTCCTCCCAACTGGCTCACTGTGGGTACAGGCAGCTCGGGTGGGACAGTCCAGAGAGGACAAACTTGATAGCAGGTGGCCCAGGAAGGAGGTCAGGGAAATCTTCCCTAAGGAGAGGCCTGAACAGCAATGAAAGCATGAGTAGGAAAGGGTGCAGGAACAGGAAAGATGTCTAAACCTCCCCCCTGTCCCTCTTGGCCACCGGAGAGCTCAGATTTTTGCGCATGGAGGTCCCAGCTTCTCACCCCAACCCTCTCTCTGGACTCCAGTGCTCTTCAGGTCAGCCGGAGCCTCTGTATCCCTGTCTGTGAAGTAAGGAAGATAGTAGCTACTTCTTGGGGTTGGTGCCAGAATGAAGTATGGCGAACCAGCGTGGAGCCTGGACCCAGTGCATGTCAGGTAACTTCTTGCTGTTTTTATGGGTGATACCTCTGCTGGCTTCCTTTTCCAGATCCTTGTCCAAGGGGCCAAACATCCAGAAAGTGCTTCGTGACATCCCAACAGCATGGGCAGAGCATGGCTGAGCCGGACTCAAGCATTTCCCAGGTTCTCCCTCATGACCTGCTCCTGCCACATCCAGGCCCAGGCCGGCTGAGTGCCAGCTTATTTTTCCTGAGCTGCTGCCAAGCAGAAACCACTGGGCTGGCACAGAGCTTTGACTGGTGTTGGGGTAGGGCGGGGCTGGGGCTCTGACAGGCTAGGGGACAGCAGTCGGCCTCCCACACACCTCCAAAGGCTGTGGTTGTGGTTAGTTAGTTCATGGGGTTCCACCTCACTCAGTGCCCGGATGGGGCTCCCCAAGAGTTGGAGACGGATGGGCAACCAAGTGTGCCTACCTGCCATAGGTGCCCCTTGGGCCTGGTGGCTAAAAGCCAAGAACGCACGTGCTCAGCCACCCCTCCCTTCATCTCCTCACTTCTTTGGCAGTCACGTCACTGTGTGACTTTTGGCAGGTTGCTTGATCTTTCTAAACGCAGTTTGCGGACCTGCAAAGGGAGACTAATAGCATCTGACGTCATGGCTTGCTGTGTATGTAAAGTACCTGGTCAGAGAGGCCTGGCCCATGGCACTTGCTAGGTAAACATGACCTCCTTGCCCTGATGGGCCGCAGAAAGCTGAAGAGTAAAAATGTCCAGAACCTACCCTCATGGAGCTCACAGACCAGACGGGAGGCAGATGAGAATGGAGGACGGTTGAGTCCACAGGCCTCGAAGGCTGAGTTCAGGAGTCTGAGCTTGATCTGAGGGGGGGAGGGGTGGGAACTCCACAGAGTCCGGGCTGCCCAGCAGCCATGTAGAGAGTGGCTTTCTTTAAAAGGCCACCGAAGCCAGCTTTCCATCCCTGTTCCTGGAGGTTCTCCTGAACTGCCCATCAGTGGGCGGCTCTGCCTCCATTGTGTTGGTATATTTGTGACTATGCTTCTGTTCCTTCATGCATCTGTCAGCGAAGACAGTAGACGTGTCTTTTCCTGTGTCCTTAGGACTGCCATGCCCAGGTGAGAGGACCCTCTCAGGCACCGAGTCAGGCTCGAGGCTCCCCAGGAGGGCTTCACCTCAGGCCAAGATGAAACCCAAAAGTCTCAAGTGTGGAGCAAATAGCCCCTGAGACCACACAGGATGGCCCAGGAAGGCAAATGATGTACACATCCTGTGGGACCTTGGGCAAGTCGCTAGACCTCTGGGCCTTGCTGTCCTCATCTAACTGTAAAACTGGAATGGAAAGGACCATGGTGCCTTGGGGTCTCGATTTGGTTTCCACTGCTGTTTGCTGGATACCCACTGTGGGTCAGTCTGTTTCACCTCATGCGGCAAATCAAGATAAAGACAAGCAGAGACTGCCTTTCAGTTAGGTGTCTTCATTAGCAATTACTGACTAGGAAACAGCTTTAGAGAGGTTAAGTAACTGGCCCAAGTCACACAGCTTTAAAGTTAGGAATTGAACCCAGGTCTCTGTGCTCCCAGGCCAGATCTCAGTGTAAGGATACAGCTGTTCTCACTCCCTGCCCCTGCTTAGCACCTCTGTGGGCCCCTGGGAGTCAGGAAGTCCCTTATCAGCCCCTCCTGGGGCCCTGCCTTCTGGGGCAAAACCCTGGGTTCCCCAGTTCTTTTACCGCCAACCCTCCTTTGCTCCCTAGGGCAACTGGGTCAGACGCTATCAGCTATGGGCCATCTCCTGGACTTACAGTAGGAGAGGAAAGCAGACATTGCTGGGTGTCAGCTGGAGGGAGTTTGAGAGCCAAAGGCCAATGTTGGGTGCTTGGGAAATTAACACTTATAAAGGGACAAGAGGCGTATCCCTTGCTCTGGGGAATAGCTGATGTGTTAAATGCGAATAATGAGGGCTTGCAAGACCAGGCCTGGGGCTAGGTACTATACTCAATGATCTCTTCTTCATGGCCATCCCACTAGGTAGAGACTACTGTTGTCCCCCCTTTTACAAAAGAGAGACCGAGGAGGCTCAGAGGGATGGTGTGACACAGCTAATGGGGCAGGCACAGCAACCATTGCCATCGGAGTCCTCCGACTCCAAGGCCCTCAGAGACTAGCTTGGCCAGGCTTCTGTGCTCAGCGGGGCCCAAGCAGTGGGAGTGAGCGATACAGGGGAAGGCGAGGGCCTGTGTACCCCTCCGCTGCCACACAGGAGGCTCCTGGCTCTGAGTCTGCTCAGCAAAAACTGGTTCTGAGGAGTCTGGAGGCTCTGGGAGGCCCCAGGGGAGAGGGGGATGGTAGGCAAGACATTTCGAGACTGGGCAAAGCAGGCAGGCAGGATCAGAAGCGTCTCCAGAGCTTGACTGGGCTGTGCCGTGGACCATGAAACCACAGCTCTCTGCGGCACCCAGGCTGCTGAGAACTTGAGGGTTTGTCCCTTTGAGCCACACAACTTTCTCCTCCATAATTAACCATTTGAAGGTTAAACCTGATGCAACCTCTTCCCGATGATCCAGAGTTATCAGTATGAGCTTGGGTTATAGTCCACGATGTCATAAGGTATAATGTTCCAGTTTCCAGCAGCAGCACAGCCAAGCCTGGGGGAGGGCCGAGAAGACAGCAAGACTATGAACGTCCCTGAAAGCAGCATTAGGTAGAGGCCAGGCTGCCTCGGGGACAGCCCGCCACAGGCCAGCTGGACTACCTCGGGCAAGTCATTCTTCCCTAGTAGTCTCAGTTTCTCATCTATGTACTGGGGACCGTCATTCTGCCACATTTAAGGGACCGTTGAGATGATACTATGGAAAGCTGAATGGAGTAGGTGTTGGGTCAGTATGACTCTTGATGTCATCTTCATCACCTGAGAGGCTGTGACTTTGGTTGATTGAAGGGACGTGCTGTTGGCAGATGAAGCACTCAGTGATAGGAGACAATGACTGGGAGGGGCTGAGGTGGAGGGATCCGAGGGCTGCAGGCAGAAGTGGGCCCTGGGCTCCTCAAGCAAGGCTCAGCTCCCATGAAGGGAAGGGCTGTGGCCCAGGGGGGGCATCCCATGAGGGGTGTACCCTGCATCCAGGGGTTCCCTGGAGGTCCCTTCCCAACGTCGAGTTCTCCACTGTGCTGAGATCTCAGCAGGCTCTGGGCTCCTGTCTCCCTTGGGTGGGGATGGGGTGGGGAGGGTCAAAACCCCAAGGTCTGGCACAGCTTCCGGAAACTGGTTCACAAGTACCCAGATGACCCCATAGATAAAGATCACCTCCTGAAGTTTCAGAGACTCTTGCTTGCCTCTTCTACTTCCACTCCAAGAGAAACAGCAGATTGTAGGCCCCAAGAGGGTGCTGAGGGGGGGATTCCTCCCTCCCACCCTACTTTCTTTGACT